AGACTCCTCCAGAAGTCCTCCGCCCGGAACAACTATAATATTATAATTTCATTCGGGTGTGATAATTCCTCCTCTAGCCAGGCTAGGGTATTCCTCACCTCCCGTACTCCGCGTACTCCGTTTAGTGTCTCTAGCGGATGCGACGAAACTTTATTACCGGGCATGTATAATCCTACCATAATTGAAAAGGTTAACCGTTTTTGGGCTAGGGTATTCAGCCCCTAAGAGTAAAGTAAAGGGGGCTTCTGGCAATCGGAATCAGCAGAACCAGCGAAGCTTGGGAAGCGGGGCTTCGGGGTCCTGGAAGGGATCTATAGGGGTAGGTTTAAGGGTTTAGGGTTTAGGCTGCTTGGAGGATCTTGGGATTTAGCAAGTAAGGTTATAAGTACTTGAATTGGGGTGATAAGTTGCTACAATGATAGTTACCACTTTTTTCTAGCCCAGGTGCTAGGTCCCATGCTCCACTAACGTAAAACACCAAAACCCACATGCCAAAATCTCCAAGCCCCACACCCCACGAAACCCTGTCAGCATAACACCATCAAGCTCAAACACATTCACTGAGTCTGAGCCTCCAGCCGTCAATCTTGAACGCCTTAGGACAGAACCTGCAGCGCATTGCCACACTTCTCTTAGACGTCGGCCTTGATGATGCCAAGGTCAGCGAAGGGCTGGCGAGGGGGATGTGGGATTCGCGTTGGACCCGAGCCTAAACTCTACCAAAAGCTTCTGCCCCAAATCCTATTCAATTGCTTAAAACCAGCCTCTCTCGTACCTACAGGACCCCTATACGGAAGCCGTATTCCGGTCATGAAGGCCCCTGTCTTAGGATCTGGAAGCCGGTGCTTGAAGTACCCTGACTGGAGTGACTTGGAGGATCATGGGACTTAGTAAGTAAGGTTATAAGTACCCTAATTGGGGTTATAAGTAATTATAAGTCTAGTTACCGAATTTAGAACCCTAGTTACTAAGTCCCATGAACCTCTAAGCATTACTACTGTTGTTATCTTTGGATCCCCTACCGGTAGGACGGGAGTGAGACTTCGTCCGAACCACACGGTCGCCGTCACTAACCCCTCATCCAGAGTTTGTCAGCGTGACGGCTACCATTGGCCTGTCACTAAAACTGTGCGAGCAAGTGTGCTCAGCTCACTGAAGTCATAGTTGTGCAGTGCCCCATGATGGTCTCAAACACGAAGTAGACCCGCAAACACAGAGGTGACCATAGTGCGTGACCTTCAGCGCCAAACCTCAAATCCAAAATCCCAGACTATGAACCCCAAACCCAAGGGACCTTGAACCCAACAACCGCAAAACCCCTCCTGCAGGTGCAAGCGGCGAGGAGCCCGCGTCGGGGGGCCGGAAGTCGCGTTGAGTTGAGCCTTTTTCGTGCTCAGGGTTTCGACGTGGATATTGGGATTTAAGTTTCGGCCTCTCGGTTTTCAGACTCCCTCTACCCGAAACCCTGAACCCTCTCGGGTTTGAGATTCCCTAGACCCTACAACCCAAGCCCAAAACCCTAAACCGTTCGGCTTTTGGGTGGGCTTTGGGGTTTGGGTCCATCGTGCACGGATGTACGAGGCGAAAACCACGTTTTTATTCGGGGTTTTGGTTCACCGTAAACCCTGCGTGAGAGCATTAGGAACCGTGGAAGCCGTAAATCCGTAATGCAGTATAATCCATTAAATATACTACAGTGTAACCCAAAACGCTAAGTATTCGACTAACACCAATGTATTAATAAAGCATCAAACTTGAAGCCGCACCCACAAATAGGGTTTAGGCTGTAGTTCGGGCTTTGAGAGTCTTGGGTTTCATGAGGTAAGCGAAGTCGCAGCCCGGAAAGTACAGAACACCTATAAAGGCGTGCTGAAAAGCGTGTACTTGTAGAACCTTGTAAACCCCTGTAGAACTAGAGATAAAACTTATGAAAGCTTGACCATATGTAGCCCTACACCCCAAACATCCTAAAACCCTAAATCCTAAATCCTAAGCCCTAAAACCCTAAAACCCTAAAACCCTAAATCCTAAACCCTAAAAGACCCTAAACCCCAAACCCTAGACCCTAAACCCTAAAACCCTAAACCACCAACCCTAAACCTTAGACCCTAAACCCCAAACCCTAAACCCGACACCCTAAACCCTCTACCCTAAAACCCTAAACCACCATCCCTAAACCTTAGACCCTAAACCCCAAACCCTAAACCCGACACCTGGAGGAGCACCCTTGAAGACCTTGGAGGCCCACAGGCGCCCATGAAGATGCAAAAGGTTAGTGCCCCTCAGCTGCTTGCTTCTTAGGGCTTGGGTTTAGTGGTTGAGGGTTTAGGGTTTAGGGTTTAGGGTTTAGGGTTTAGGGGTTTAGGGTTTAGGGTTTAGGGTTTAGGGCCTCTTCCTGTGACAACAAGCC